TGTTACAACTAATCATGGATCCCTTTAACACTTGTCTCTGTGATTTTATGTGTGTCCTCTTTTTAGTAGATATGTGCCTGTGTATGCATATATGATAATTGGAAAAACTGTGTCTGCATGAAGTGACTTGTTACAGATAAACATAGTAAGAATTACTCTGATGGCCACAGAAGATAATTAGGGCCTTGACCCTTAATCCCCAAACCAAATCTTCTTTGCCCTGAATCCATTTACCTGCAGTGACCCTGCAGCACTTAAACAAGAGAAATGTCAGGTGTTAAGTTCATAGGAAGCTCAAACAAGGGTTGTTTGATACACACACACTTAAAAATTATATATATATATATATATATATATATATATATATATATAAGCTCACTGTATAGCTCAGTGGGTAAGTCTCCGGTCTTCCACCCGGGAGACATATAGAAAGAAAGAAAGAAAGAAAGTTTTGGGTTGTATTAATTACACATAATTAAGTTTTGACTTCTTTTGTCTTTCAAATGTACTATCACAATGATTATTGAGTCACAAATACTAATTCCTGATAATAATTCCTCCTGCTGTAGTGAGTGAGAGCAAAGCATACAAATCAAAGTTGGAAAAAAATGTAAAAAATTTTTTTGTTAATTGTGGAGATGAAAAGATGTGGTTGTTCAATTGCTCAAGTCCATCTTGCTAATTTAACTGTCTTCAAGCGTTTCAGATAATTTCAGCAGCATGCTCTTGTGTGTGGCAGGCTGTTATTATGTTTAATTGGCTTCACCACATCTACATTCTAGCTATCTGAAGCTGGTTTAGGACTAGAGATACTATTTAAGTTATTTTAATAAGAGAGATCCAACTAATGTACATTTAATTGCTGACTTTTTCATGTTCTGTAAATTTTATAAAAAAAAAAGAAAAGAGCTTTTAATTTATTTTAATAAATGCTAGTAATATTTTTGCTGTTGCTCATTCTGTGTTTAAAATTCAGCTTTTAGTGAGAGATGTCTTTGTGCCTATAAAGTTTGTAGTCATTTCCTTGTCTGCAACAAAGAGTTTGCGGGTCTCAAAAAAAAAAAAAACATCACAAAGTTTTAATTTGAAAGAAGTTCAGCCATTTGTCTAACTTCAGTAACTCAGGGCTGGGTGGTTCCAGAAGCAGTCAGTCAGATCTACACAGGCCCATCTTTTCAGGAGCTGGCAAGAAATGTGTCTGTCACTACCTCGCTTAGAGGTGAGGATGTGCGACAGATGAGGGTGCTCTCCTCCGTTTGTCTTCTAAATAAGTTAAGGAGGTCCAAACTCATGTCAGTAACATTATGGAGCATCTTCTGAAAGAACCTTGAATGTTTATGTCCCAGTTTTCATAGCAGCTCTGTGGAAATTTGACACTTAAGCTCACCTGACTCATAGCCATAATTTTATATACGACCATCATATTTTGATACAGCGGTATAACAATACCTTCATACTGCCTAAGCCTACTAGTGACTGCCTCCACTCTCCTGATAGTGTCAAATGCTAAGGCGCTCTTCTGGCTAATCCTGGGTCACCTCTTTCTCCTCGCTGCTCTTAAAATACCACAACTTTTATGAGGCTTCACCCTTCACAGCAGTGCAGCAAATAGCCAGGGGATGACATACCTACCAGTACTAGCTTAGCTTGGCCCTTGCCTTACTAAGCAGTTCCGCTCAATTCTAGTTTCCCTTCACTGCTCCCTCTGGGATTTCTCCCATAGACGAGGATTTCTTTGGGAACATTTCATTTGGGCCAATCAGAGAACAGAACGTCGTTTTTCTGTGCAGTGTCTGCTTGTAGTTTATTTCACCTGGGCCAAACAGAAGGCGGAGTTTTGCACGCGATTTCCAGCTAGCTTCTTAGCTTAGCCTCCTTCACAGTGGAGCTGGCATTTGTGGCCAACAGATCCAATCATTTTAAATTTCAGCAGAGGCCACACCTCCAGCAAGAATCACTTCTCTATAGCCAAGAGTCCAGACCCTCGTACGAAGCAAAGTGAAGGACAAGAGTCTGGTTTTTACCAGGCTAACTTAGTGTGAGTTCTCAGTAAAAACTGCAATGAGACTTAATTTGTCACCAAACAAATAATGTAGATGTTTTTTTCTTGCACTATTAGGTTAACTCATAGTAGGTATAAGAGATAACCTGTTTTATGTTTTTAACTCATACTAAATAAGTCTACTTTTTTAGAGTTTTACACAAAAGGGCTTTAGTCCAGATTTATTTGATAAACAACTTCAGTCAGCTGACTTTTTGGTCATTTTTTGCTGTAGGCCCTGTCAAACTAATACTTATGTAGGCTATATATTCAATCTAATCATCAGCATTACAGTATTTATACATCCAAAATAGGCTTCCAGGTGATTTTTTTTCTTACATTTTCATTGTAGACATCTTAAGCATTGGTCAACTTTTTTATGAGTTGTCTGAAACTTTATGTTGTGACGGGACCGTGTCCTGCTCTGGACTGAACCAGTGGAAGAATAAAACTAGCTGCCAGTTTGCCAACAAAAGCCTGAATTTGGCACTCCTCACTAGACCAGTTGATTGCTTGTTGGCCCAGATCATAGTATAAATAAACAAGACCAAAATAAATAAATGACACTAAATTATATTATTTGAAATTTGCTCTTAGTAAACAAACATTTCTTAAAGTATATCAAACAAAACAATTTCTCAAATGGCCATCTTTTTAAATAAGGCACACTAATTATAAAAAGACCTTTAACACTGATCTCAGCTTTAAACAAGAGTCATTCCACAAGTTCAAAACAGATAATGCACTAACACAAGTTAGATTACAGAGATCTAGTTTAGATCTATTAAGTTACATTTGTTTTTATTATTATTAATATATGATTTAAAACATTGTTCTACCTGAAACAGTGCTTCTGAGAGTGTGAATGCATTACGACCGCATACTTACAGGAAGACAGACACAGAGGCAGCGGCTGTTCAGCATGGTAAACCATGGCTAACAGGTGATAAAAGCTTTGGTCTTAAGCGAGGGTGAACGGCTGGTTGTCAAGCTCCATCATTTCCATCGTTAAAGTGCTTGAGATCTGCGTCCTCTCTGGCAGTTTGTTCGGATTTGTCAAAAGCCTCAGCAATGATTTAAGTCCTGATGAGTTCTTGAATGGTAGCTTGTTGTTGTTAGCATTTTAGCAGAACGGACTTTGTGCTGCATTCAGGAGGTAACAGACTTTACATGTTCTCAAATTGGTAGTAGTTGTTCCGACCTTTTTATGTTTATAATTTTAAAGTTTGTGCGTAACAAACAGGGTTAATTGGTAAAATAATATTAATAATTCTTAAAATGGCTGGTTGTTTTTCAGCACGGGGTATTCTGATTATTTTTCTAGTGAGAAAGTCATTTTTTCTGACACCACTTGAACGTTGCTCGGGTTGTGCCGGATGGGAAGCGGCTTGACCAAAAAGGATAAAAATAAAAGAGCGCACTCACCGCCGCGCTGGCAAACATATATTATCGGTTCTGTTTGTTATTATATCGGGCCGATAACTATAGTGCACCCCTAACTTCAACAAAAAACCATTGTCCAATTTTAATTTCTTCTGTTGAGAATGTTAAATGTGTTTGTGTGAATGTAAGGTTTTAGGCCTTCACTTTAAACATAAAGAAACTGTTGACCATTTCTTGTTTGCAAAATATTCTAGACATATTTTAATTAATTACTCTCACTTTTCTGTAAAAATGTTTTTATAAACTGCAATGATCTGTTTCCTTTTAAAGATGCTGGTGTGTGCGCTATCATAACAGTTTGAAAAGCAGAGTCATGCTTGAAAAGGCTCGTGTGTTTGGTTTCTGTAGTACCAATGCTAATGCTGTCCTTGTACATCTTGTACCAGCAAAGATAAAGAGAGGTGTGACAAGTTGGACTGTGATGTGAAACATTACATTTCAAGAATTTAGGTTACATTTTATCATGTGTACCTTATCTTTTGATGGAGACATAAAAAATGAGTTTGTTCATTTATGTGTGTCAGTGAGTAGTTTGGGGTTGTAGGTTAACTTGTACCAAGTGAAACAAATTTTGTGTGTTTGGAGGTAAAACATGTATTTGTAAAATTAGATTTAAAAACAGTTCAAAGAAAATAGTAGCTTTATGAAGAGTGGACAAGAATTTTAGGCTAAAATCGACGTGGCAGAAACATGGCGGAAGTCACCAGATTCTTCAGGGCATTTTTATATTATAAAACCTTTCCCAGCGAATGGCGGGCTGGAAAGAATAATAGTTCTCTGCCGATGAGCCTAACCAGGTGTTGGAGGAAGAAAAAGTAAGACCGACTTGCTTTGCTTTAGTTTTTTAAAATGCATTGCCCCCTTTTTTTATTTGAAACGATACCTAAAAAATGCTTTAAACATCTTGGAGACAGTTACATTTTGTCCATAATAATAAGATTAATCAAGAAATCGGTTATTTTTTTTGACATTCTAAACACAGAATGAAAGAAATACTGAGGTCCCAGTTGTCAGCAAAAAAACTAACAAAAACAATAAGTAACAAGAAAAAAAGAAAAAGTATAAAAATGCACAGTGTGTCACAGATTGCAGTATACAAATGTACACCTTCAGCATTTGTAAATTTGTGGTTTCTATTTAAAAAAAAGGCTATTAATCACGATTAAAAAATTTTAATCTATGCCCAGAACTAAAATAAATGTTTTTCAAGATTGAGGCCCAAATTTATTTGTCAAACAGCAAAAAATTTATAGGACAAAGAAAATAAAAAGATACAAAAGTTGAATGAAGTGTGGCATCAATGGAGAGATGGCGAGAGCAGGAGAAAGTAATTAGATTTGAAAGATTTGTAACAATCAGAACAAACAAACAAAACAACAAAACCAAAGACCATTGTTTTTAAAAACATTAGAACACATGATACATTTTTCAGCTTTCTTTTTGTAAATGTAATGATTGGACTTAATAGAATAAATTTTATTTAGTTTTCTAACATTTTTTATTCTTTCTCTTTCAGGGAAATGAAGCCAGTTACCCCCTGGAGATGTGCTCACATTGTAAGTATTTTGAATCTATTTTTTCTACCTTAATAATTAGGTTATTTTTATTTTCATCGTTTGTCCTAATAGTAATGCGTGCCGTCATGTTGTTTTTTATGATGTTAATGCATATTCTCTGGTAGGGCTACAACGAGTCTATAAAAATCAATTATTAAAAGCGTTTGTAATGAATTTCATCCGTCCTCTCTGAGACCCTTGAGTGAAAAGTAGAGACTTCGAACTTTAAACCAGTTTTTAAATTGTGTTGTTACACCATGTAGATCCGAAGTTATGACAAAAGGTATATGCCAAAAGTATACGCGAGCAGAACTCCTGGTCTGACTCAGTGGGGGAGGAGGGGGGGGGGGCTGCTTCAGAATCGCTTACTGGGTCATAAAACACCACTTTAGCCACAGACAAAGCCAACAAGAAGTGAGCAATGTAAAAATTAGAGAAAAATCATAAATTCTAAATGCAAATAAATTATGATTATAATAACAAACTAGAAGCGCAAATCTCCGCCAAGACCAATTTCCCCCATCCTGTAATGGAGTTAATGCGCAAAAGCAGAGATGGAAACCAATGGCGCCGGAATAGGGTGGGCCAGGGGGCCATTGCCCCACCACCACCACCACTTTACGGCCCTGCCCATCAGCTGGTGCCATGGACATTTACAGGCTGCACCCAATGCTGACAAGTTATGACAGATGTCTCTCTGTCAACAGACAGAGGCGAAGACAAAACCGATGGCATTAAAATCAGGACTAAATCTGTTTCACCAGATCAGCATGGCTTGGTTTAGATGCGCGCACGCTCACAAGCTGGAGGCTGGAGTTTATCTACTTGACGTTTATGTTGGTGAAGTATTCTCCAAAGGCAGTACAGTTCATAACTTGTACAATGATGTGAAAATGAGAACAAACTCTTGATAAGTTAATACATTATTTAAATGGGGAGCAGTGCGCGCAACCCTTGTGGAGAACAGTCGGAGGGTTTACGCAAATTCTCCAGCTCTGCAAGGTTGGTCTCTATGATCATAAACCTGCTTGACACGTGCAAAAAACATTTTGGCTCTGATCTGATCCCATCTAGGTCGACCAAATCAGCTTACAAATAAAATTTTTGTATTTTGTGCCACATCTCTGGCCCAAACCTGTGCGCAACCATTCGATCTCCAGATGCACGCAGACAAGTTGTGAAGAAAAAAAAGGAGCCCATGGTTCTTTACATGTCCGGTCCAAATGGTCACCTATATTTGGCCCAGAGCAGATAACTGTTGTTGACAGAGTTGATAAAAAATTGCGCTGTCATTATTGTTGCTGTCCAGCTGGAGTTTGCTGCTGCGCTGTGATGACAGGTCGCTTTGGAGAAAATGCTGCCAGACGAGGAAATGTGTCATTTTTGCCTCATTCCCCCCCCCCCAAAAATAAAGTTTGTTGTTAACTACATTACTTAAATTGGTTGCTTTACTCACCATCTCTTGTGTAAAAAAGACTGCATTCCAGCGCAAGTTTCTGACCCTGTATTCCAAACTCCAGTGTAGATATTATTTATATGTGTTTAGTTTTTTCGTGGTTATTTATAAAGAAGTTGGATTTACTATGATCATCATTCCTAATAAATGATTTAAATAAAACAATCACAGGTGAAAACTTCATTATATTTAATTGTTGCTTGATGATGAGCCGATACAGGTAAAGCTTGATGTGTAGTTAAACTTTGTTATAATAAAAAAAGTCTAATCATTGCTAATTAAACTTAGTTGACCAAATCTGTTTTTATGAGAAAATACAACAAATAATTAACAAAAGCAGGCTAACTTTTCTTATCGAACTATCTTAACTATCTATCTAATTAACTATCTTAACTATCCTTTTCCTCAGATAATGTGCCGCAAATTCTAACACTTGTGTCTATTGATTCAGGAAATTAATTTCCGTTCCATTCATATTTATGCTCACAAGCGGCTGCTGATGAACTGAAAAATAACTTGAAAAAAATTTTAATAAATGAACTAAACATCTTATCGATGACTGCAGTTTGTTTTATTTAGTTTTTTCATTTTCAAAAGAAAGATCTTACAGTACGCAATGATATCATGTGGCAAAACGTGCGCCTGACATTCGGAGCACGTACGATCAGATCAGTGCATGCATGGTGACTCTTTTATGAGTTTGTAATGGTTTGACTCTCTTTATAAAGTGCTTCCTGATACAGTCGGCTCTAGGGCTGCCACGATTAATCGATTATTCGACGACTAATCGATTATTAAAATAATCGATGACTGATTTTATAATCGATTAATCGTTTTCTCTTTTTTTTTGTTCTTTACTTTGTTTTTCTCTCCAAACTGCTTTGACACCTTCCACTGCCACATCTGCCTTTCTGTCCTTGACACACATGCACAGTAGTGGTAACTGGGGTAGGCCGTGGACGTCACAAGACATTATACAGACAGGCTCTGGTATCATGGCTACCTGACAACAGAGCTCAAAAGTGTGGGAACTTTTTAAGAAAATAAAAGAGAAACCTGTGCAATATCTGCAGAGCAGAACTTGCCTTCCACTGCAGTTATTTTTAGTTGGCATATAGCTAAAATCTAACCATGGTTATATAATAGCAGCTGCATTCTGGCGCAATAAGCTCTTTTATATAAATATATGTTTTATATATGTTTTATATTCAATTAATATGTGATCCAATTAGTCGACTAATCGAAAAAATAATCGATGATTAATCGATTATAAAAATAATCGTTTGTGGCAGCCCTACATGTAACATCGCCAGAAGTAGTTGATAACAGAATAATCACAACTTTCCCAATGATAGACATACTGGGATGTGTAGTCCCAGCGAGTTTGCGACTTGTATTTCCTGTTTCATATAGGCATGCATGTGATATAATGACACTGCGTAGCCCTACTGGTCGAATTAACCCTCCTATCATCATCAAATATAATTACAATGTCAATGTTGTAAATGGCAAATTCGACTTAATCGATTAAATCGATTTATCGCCCAGCCCTAGTTGGTTGCAGCCCTGATCTCTGGTTAAGAACCAGACTGTAAGGATCCACTGCAGCTTGTTTTTAATGAGCACTGGGAGGATGTCTGGTCTTGGAGTAGTGTGGGTGGTCTTTGGGGACTGTGTTGCTGCCTGGATTGACATAATAATTCATTCAATATTAATTATTGCTTTAAAGCTTTGAAAGTAATTAGTGAGAGTTTTGGTCCTACACTTTTAGAAGATGTGTAGGAGGCAGGGGCTGGTACAATTTAACTGTTCTTTTAAACRGTAAGATCACTTCAAGCTTGATCCAACTACAGCATCAACTCGCATTTTTTWAAATAAATTACAGTGAGGTACGCAAGTTTGGAAAGCCTTGTTAATTTTCCTGATTTACCTTTTATAACTCATTGATTGTTTGGATAAAAAAATCAGTAAAATATATCATGTTGGGGACAAACACAGTGAGATTTGAGAAGTGAAATAAAGTTTGTTATTTACAGAAAGTGTGCAATAATTGGTTAAACAAAATTAGGCAGGTGCATAAATTTAGGCACCAAAAAAAACATTAACTCAATATTTAGTAGATCCTCTTTTTGCAGAAATAACAGCCTCTAAATGCTTCCTATAGCTTCTAATGAGAGTCTGGATTGTGGCTGAAGGTATTTTACACCACTCTTCTTTACAAAACATCTATAGTTCATTTAGGTTTGRTGGTTTCCAACCACAGACAGCTCTATTTAAATGACACCACAGATTTTCAATAATATTCAGGTCTGGGGACTGAGTTGGCCATTCCAGAACGTTGTACTTGTTTCTCTGCATGAATAGTAGATTTTGAGCAGTGTTTAGGGTCGTTGTTGGAAGATGCAGCCCCGGCTTCAGCAGCTTCAGCTTTGTCACTGATTCCTGGACATTGGTCTCCAGAATCTGCTGATATTGATTGGAATCCATGCGTCCCTCAACTTTAACAAGATTCCCAGTCCCTGTACTGGCCACACAGCCCCACAGCATGATGGAACCACTACCAAATTTTACTGTAGGTAGCAGGTGTTTTTCTTGGAGAGCTGTGTTATTTTTCCTCCATGCATAACGACCCTTGTTCTGCCTAAATAAGTCTATTTTAGTTTCATCAGCCCACAGCACCTTATTCCAAAATGAAACGGGCTTGTCCAAATGTGCTTTAGCATACCTCAAGCAGCTCTGTTTGTGATGTGGGCGGAGAAAAGGCTTCCTCTGCATCACTCTCCCATACAGCATCTCCTTGTGTAAAGTGTGCTGAATAGTTGAACGATGCACAGTGACTCCATCAGCAGCAAGATGATGTTGTAGGTCTTTGGTGCTGGTCTGTGGGTTGACTGACTGTTCTCAACATACTTCGCTTCTGTTCATTGGAGATTTTTCTTGGTCTGCCACTTCCAGCTGTGACTTTGAACTGTGCCTGTGGTCCTCCATTTTCTCACGTTTCTCTCAGTGGAGACTGAAAGCTGAAATCTCTGAGATATCTTTCTGTATCCTTCCCCTAAACCAAGACAGTGAACAACCTTTGTTTTCAGCTCATTTGAGAGTTGTTCTGAGACTCCCATGCTGCCACTCTTCAGAGAAGATCCAAAGAGGAGAAAAACTTACAATTGTCCCCCCTTAAATATCCTTTCTCATAATTGGAGTCACCTTTGACAATTACCTGGCTTACCAGGCTTTCTAAACCAGAATGTCCGGTATTCCAAAAATTCATACCATAACAAAATTAATAAAAAAACAATTGAATGAACCGGTATACCTCCCAGCACTACCCCAGGTTGTCCAGAACTCATTTGTAAGATAGTTAACTCACATAAATAAACAAGCTCACATCACAGCTATTTTAGCTTCTTTCACTGGCTCCCAGTTCATTTTAAAATTCTGGTTCCAACTTGTAGAGCCTTACAGGAACAAGCTCCCTCTTTTATCTCAGATTTGATCCAGCTTAAGTCGCCATCTCACAATTTGAGGCCATAAGGTCAGAGGTTGT